TGAATCTGGACACCCTGCAGCCTACATCGGTCCTGAGATGAAAGTCTGCAAACTGCTAATACAATGTGGACTCCTGGGTCATTGACTTCCATCACCTACTATAGGTGGATGTTCAGCCCTTTCCTGGACTGAGGTATATTCTTGATGATTCATTCTCTAAAGATAGTCACATCCTTTCAAACGGTTGAACCGGAACTGAAAGGCCTTAGGTCATCCATGATACCAGGATCTGATATCAGCTTCGAGGAAGAGACTTCGCTTTTGGCTCAGACTGGAACCTGGTCGTGGTTCGGGCGGGAGCATTCCAGCCAGAGATATCCCAAGTATAGTCGAGCATTTCTGGCTTACAAAGACCAGACTAGACCCTGGAGGTGTTCGGCATATCATCGGAGGGAGAAGCGCAACCAACAGTCACTTGAGCGTACTCAGATCCTCCATTTTGTTTGGGTCCCGTCGGCCTAGATCTCCGAGCCATTGATATCTTCCGTAATGCGTGCGCAAAACCACCCCCAAGCAAGAGATATCGCAAGCGTTCTAGACGATACCAAGTAAGGGCAGCTTGGGCGGGTCGTCAGAACAACAACTTCGATGAGCAGTACTCTAGAGGCAGTCACAGGCTCCACTCAATCGAAAGTTTTGGTTCGCAGAAAGCCCAGTGACTTTCAAACTCTGCAACGCCTATCATGGTCATACGACGGGGCACTCCCGAACGAGCATATCCCAACCACTTGTGACTCTGCAAACCCGAAGTATGAACGCCTTCAACATATTAAAGGATTTCAGATGCCGACCGATCATCACACGAGGACGTTGAGATGGCTGTATCAATTGGTTCGTTTGCGACGTGCTGTCCGAAGGCTTTCATCGGAGAGTTGGCCGTTCAATGCGTCTACAGGTGGGTGGGTGACACCGAGACCCTGACAGGTGACATGCGGCGAAAGTTTCCATCCTTATGTTGAACAACTGAACCGATATTGCAAAGCTAGTCATGATCATGTGATACGTCTTTGATGCGGATGCATATGCGTTCCTGAAACAATGCGCGATTGACGGGTGAATGATGTCACCTCTAGAGTGCAGTCAGCGGTTTCAGGCTTCACGAAGTATTAGTCGCAGTCTTTCAGCAGTCGAACCAGCTAGTGATCCCTATTGTTCACTTCAATGTTCATGATGAATCTTTTGTGTAACCGACGACCTTTGTTGATGCTTCAACACCTCCGGGCGGAGTCTGACGTTCGCGATGGCACTAGGGACCGGGGACCGTGGCGCATGCAGCTGCAGGGCTCTTCGTGCACTTTCATCCTTGGCCGATCGAAAGCCATTCCGTACTCATCAATTGCCTTTTGCCTTTCTTGTTTGCGCCTTCTACATTTAATTCACAGCAGCCGCATCGCGCCTGCTTCCTTTGTTTACGCGCGTCATCCCGATTGGCATGCTGCTTGGCCGAGTCTCACTCGCCGCCTGCAAACGAAGCTTCCTTGCGACACCTTCACGCACCCTACCGTTGTCCGCATCACGCCCGCGCTCCCTCTTTCACACGCCGCACCTCACGAGGCTGTCTAGCTTTAGCGCACACCCCCTCGGCAAACGCTCCCTCCACACGTCGCCGCCTATAAATTCTTCGCTGCCAATGGAACAAAATGGCACAAGCAAGCGCAAGCAACCGCCAACCTCGCCCGCAACCGACCGCCCAAACAAGCAGATCAAGCCCGAATTAGACTCGCACACCTCAAACGGCGTCATGTCGCACTCGCCCGACCTGGAGGAGCCCATGGACGATGCGCGCAGCGAGTACAGCGCCCACAGCTCCCCCGACGCCCTCGCAGCGTCGGCGCACATCACCGCCGTCACCGGGCAGGACACGGCAGAATGGCAGCGGACGATAGAGAACGTGGTCAAGAGCGTCGTGTCGATACACTTCTGCCAGACGTGTTCGTTCGACACGGACCCGGCCATCAGCTCAGAGGCGACGGGCTTTGTCGTCGACGCCGAGAAGGGCTACATCCTCACCAACAGGCATGTTGTCGGCGCCGGCCCCTTCATCGGCTACTGCATATTCGACAACCACGAGGAGTGCGACGTCCACCCCGTCTACCGCGACCCCGTCCACGACTTCGGTATTCTGCGCTTCGACCCCAAGAAGATCAAGTACATGCCCGTCACCGCCCTCAAACTGCGCCCCGATAACGCCAAAGTCGGTGTCGAGATTCGCGTTGTCGGTAACGATGCGGGAGAGAAGCTCAGTATCTTGTCGGGTGTCATCAGTCGGCTGGATCGCAATGCGCCCGAATACGGCGAAGGCTACTCCGACTTCAACACCAACTACATCCAGGCGGCGGCTGCAGCGAGTGGAGGTTCTTCTGGTAGTCCTGTCGTGGACCGCGACGGATTTGCTGTTGCGCTGCAGGCCGGTGGACGTGCTGACGGTGCTGCGACCGACTACTTCCTGCCGCTAGACCGACCGCTACGTGCTCTCGAGCTCATCCGCCAAAGCCAACATGTCACCAGAGGCACCATTCAGACTCAGTGGATACTCAAGCCATTCGACGAGTGCAGGCGGTTAGGTCTCTCGCCTGAGCTGGAGAAGGAGATCCGCACTCAGTTCCCTAAGGAGACAGGCATGCTCGTAGCTGAGGTCGTCCTTCCTCAAGGGCCCGCATCTACCAAGGTCGAAGAAGGTGATCTTCTCCTGCGCGTCAACGGAGAGTTGCTTACACAGTTCGTCCGACTCGATGCGATCCTTGACGACAACGTTGGCAAGACCATCTCTGTGACCATACAACGTGCTGGAGAGAATATGGATGTCGAGCTAGACGTTGGCGACCTACATGCCATCACCCCCGACAAGTTCGTGTCCGTCGCCGGCGCTTCGTTCCACGACCTCTCATACCAGCAAGCGCGTCTTTACGCTATCTCGCTCAAGAACGCAGGTGTATACGTCTGTGAGGCAGCGGGCTCCTTTAGGTTCGCTGACGGCTACACATCAGGGTGGTTGATTCAGGAAGTTGACAACCAGCCAACACCCGACCTTGACACTTTCATCCAAGTCATGAAGAAGATCCCCGATCGCAAGCGAGTGGTTATGATGTACAAGCATCTGCGCGATCTGCACACTGCGAACACTAGTATTACTTCTGTCGACAGGCATTGGCATGCAAAGATTCGGGTAGCAACACGTAATGACGAAACTGGCCTGTGGGACTTCAAGCCCCTCGCCGATGCCATTCCATCTGTGCCCCCAGTTCCTCGCCGTGCGAACTTCGTCAAGATGAGCTCAAGCTACCCTGAGGCTGTAGACATTGTCCGCAGCTTTGTCCGCGTTCATGTCTCTATGCCCATTAAGCTAGACGGCTTTCCTAAGATGAACAAACAGGGTTACGGTCTTGTTGTCGACGCTGAACAGGGTCTCGTTCTCGTCTCAAGAGCAATCCTGCCATATGACCTTTGCGACATCTCGTTGATCATCGCTGACAGCATTTTTGTCGATGCCAAGGTTGTCTTCATGCACCCTCTGCAGAACTATGCCATCGTCAAGTACGATGCTTCCCTTGTCAACGCCCCTGTAAAGACACCCAAGTTTGCCACCGACTTCATCAAGAAGGGAGCCGAAACCATCTTCTTCGGCATCAACCAGAACTTCCGACCTGTAGTAGCAAAGACTGTCGTCACTGATATCACCACAGTCGCGATTCCAGCGAGCGCAATAACACCGAGATACCGCGCGACCAACTTTGACGCCATCACCGTGGACACCAACCAAGCTTCGCATAGTGGCTCTGGTGTGCTCGTCGCGGAGGATGGCACCGTTCAGGCCCTCTGGCTTTCATACCTGGGCGAGCGCACATCACACAGCGGCAAGGACGTTGAGTACCACCTCGGTCTTGCGACACCCAACCTTCTACCAGTGCTCAACGAGATCCGCGGCGGTAATACACCCAAGCTACGTATCTTGAACGTCGAGTTCCAGACTGTCCAGATGAGTCAAGCCCGCGTGATGGGCGTCTCAGAGGAATGGATTGAGAAGACCGAGACAGCCGACCCAGAGCGCCATCAGCTCTTCATGGTTCGCAAGGTCGACTCCGGCCACGGCGACGGTCTCAACGAAGGTGATGTCCTACTCACCCTCAACGGCAAGCTCGTCACCCGCTCCCCCGATCTGGACGTCATGTACAACAACGAGTTCCTCGACGCCGTCGTCGTGCGCAAGCGCGAGGAGAAGACCATCAAAGTCTCCACCGTCGCAACCGAAGACCTCGAAACCGACCGCCTCGTCAGCTTCTGCGGCGCCACCTTCCACCGCCCCCACCAAGCCGTGCGCCAACAAATCAGCAAAATCCACTCTGACGTCTACATCTCGTCGCGCGCCCGCGGCTCCCCAGCCTACATGTACGGCCTCGCGCCCACCAACTTTGTCACTCACGTCAACAACGTGCCCACGCCCAACCTCTCCGAGTTCCTCACCGAGATCAAGAAGATCAAGGATAACGAGTATTTCCGCATGAAGGTTATGACGTTTGATAATGTGCCGTGGGTTGCGACGATGAAGAAGAATGAACATTACTTCCCTACTATTGAGCATGTTAAGGATGCGAGTCAGCCGTTGGGCTGGAAGAAGATTATTCATGAGTGTGGGGATGGGGGGGCGAGGGAGGAGATGGGGCCGGATGAGTTGGAGGCTGAGGCTGGGGAGGAGTAGATGGTTCTGTTGGAGAAGAGGGATGGGTGTGAGATGTGTAAGATGTAGCGTATGGACGAGAGAGGGAATAGAGTATCATGCATTCAATCATCTGGATTCATTCCCAGACGTGTTCTTTGAATCTCTCTTCGTGTGACAAATGACCCCAGTCCCAATCCAGTTCCTTCCCCAAATTGGGAAGAAGAACACAGCCCTTCTCAGACTAACTATGCCCCTAGTGGAGCCTGCCGTGTGGATCACTCAATCTCATATCTTCTGATAGACGTCCCCAACGCATGCTTGCATAGCGCAGAGTGAGTATCCCTCAAACATCCTCCTCAAGCATCTCTTCATCTACAAGACCCTCCTCTTCCTTGACCTCCTCCTTTACCTCAACCTTCTTCTTGCGACCCCGGGGCGTAGCTTTCTTCTTTGGAGAACCATCTGCCTCACCACCATCCCCAACCTTCCCATCCTCACCACCATGACCAGCACCAGCGTCAAGGTCAGCCTTGCTCTTCCGCTTCTTAGGAGTAGCTTTGGGCTTGGCCTTGAGCTTCTCGGGCGTAGCAGCAGCGTCACCTCCAGCAGCAGTAGGAGGTGGACCAAAGGCCTGGCCGTTCTTGATCTTGGTAATATCGTCTTTGTGCTTCTCCTTGAGGCGCACGAGGAGTTTCTTGCAGGAGATGATGGAGCGGCCTGCGGGGATGGGCGCGTTCTGTTGGGTTGTTAGTTTTGGGATACGTTGATGGGTGCGGATTTGGGGTCTGAGTTGGTAGCTCCTGGGTGGCAGGTAGTGCGATAAGGAGGGGCACTCACGCCGATCTTTGCATCGATCTTGCCTTCGTTCTCACAGAGGACGATGAGGTAGGCTATCTGTGGTATGGTTAGCTGGTGCGATTGGGATTGGGTGCCCAGGTGGGGTGTGGAGGGAACATACTTTCTCGCCTTCAGACCAGGCGGCACCGCTTGCGCCGGTTTTGTTGGGGGCTTTGGGGTCGGTGTCGGACATTTTGGGGATGTTTTCTGGGGGTTTTTGGTGGGTTATGTGAAGATGTTCAACGATTCTGGCGTAGAAGTGGATGTGGTGTGGAAAACTTGGTTAAGAGCAGGAGGAGGTGGTGAGGTAGATATGGGGATGGAGGATGGGGAAATCGGCAGCTTTGAACTCACCTTCACGTCGCATTTGCGATGAAGTGAGCCCGTTCGTCCTTGGTAGGGAAGTGAACGGTGAGGTGAGGTGACGGCGTGCACCTCTGAACATAACAGCTAACCTTGAATCATGGTGAACTGGGCTATCTACGTGCGCTCTGAGAGGCAGTGCTGGATCTTGCTGTTCGCGTTAAGATAGCATGATTTTTGCAGAAGTCGTCTATAACTCCATTCTTGAGATGATTCGTCTCCTTTTTAAGGTAGAGTCTGGCACTGATGTTCAGCCCACCTCCAGGGCTGGAGCGCCGTCATTTCGTCAGCCAATCTACTTGCAGCACTAGTCCCCGTCTAGCTTAGCACCACAGCCATCTACTCCAGAGCTGTTCTCGTCTTCATTTCACGCCTTCGGTTTCTATCCCACGAACACGACGATGCTCGAGATAGCCTGCTTCAACGCTACTTCTGCCATCGCGGCAGCGCAAGCCGGCGCTGATCGCATCGAGCTGTGTGCCGACTACGCAGCTGGCGGGGTAACGCCTTCCCTCTCCACGCTGCAGGATGTACGGAAGAAAGTCAAGATCCCGATCAATGTTATGATCCGGCCACGAGGAGGCGACTTCAACTACTCCGACGAAGAGTTTGAGCTTATGAAGAAAGAGATAGAGATGCTTAAGCCTTTTGCTAGCGGTTTCGTTTTTGGCATCTTGATGGTCAATCGACGTGTAGACCCCACTCGTAATCGCGACCTGGTCGAGATTGCTGCTCCGCTTCCTTGCACGTTCCATCGGGCCATTGACGAAACAGACGATCTAGAGGAAGCCGTGGAGGCCGTTGAGAACTGCGGTTTCAAGAGCATCTTGACAAGTGGCGGATATAAGACCGCAGCGGAAGGAGCTACTGCTCTTCATCTCTTGCACTTCTTTCGGCCCAATAAGGTCTCGTTGATTGTTGGAGGCGGGGTCAGAAGCACCAATGTTGAGGATCTCAAGAGGAGGACCACATTAAAATGGTTTCACTCCGCAGCCATCACAACGCCTGGAGAAGATGTTGACGCCGAGGAAGTGAGAAAGATAAAGGATGTGTTGTCAAAACTCAAATGGAAGGCATGAGACGCGGACATGAAGGGTACGATATTATTCATTAAGCGTGGCGCATCAATACTGGGCTGCCACAGGATGTATACGACATGCATGTGCTAAGACTCCAGCGGGTATCATCCATTCGGGATTGCCTCGATTACAACTCCCGAGGCTCCTCCATTCAAACAGTTCACTGCGACGTGTATGACTCCCGAAAGCAAACTGCTCACAAAAGCGCGTATAGCAAAGCACCGACCACCGACATTCCAAAGGATCTTGTTGTGTCGACAGACACTTGTCGGGCGGCTCCAGTAGATTGCGGCGAGGCATCGGAAGCTTCAGGAGTTTGTGTCACAACGTTGGTCTTAGCGGCGATCGTTGTGGCTTGCGTAACAGTGGTAGCGGGTACGGTGGTTTTGACCTCTACTCCACTGACAGTCGCCGTCTCGACAGTCTCCGCGACAGTTGTCGGCGCCGAGTATGTGACGGCGGGGACAGTGGTGGTGTAGACGATGACCTTTCCGAGTTCTGTGACCGGGACCGCTCCACCAACACCAGTACCGGTGTACTGTGCAGGGACTGAAAGGGTCGAAGTGTTTGGCTTCTCAGCCTCGTTGTTCGCGTAGATGTTGGCGCTCTGACCGTCCTTTGTGTAATCTCCGTTGACGAGATTGACATCGGTGCCGCCGGAGCTGTAGGTTCCGGCAGCGACGTTTCCGTAAGATCCGTCTGGGAACTGGAAGTTGGTGGTGAACTTGTCGTAGCACATGGGGATGTTGATGTTCTTCACGTTGACACAGTCTAGGCTCTGACGGCAACCGAAACCGTCCGCACGTCCGTGTACAGATCGCTTGTCGAAAGAGATGCCCTGGATCGACGAGAGAATGTCGGTATAAAGCGAGCTGAGCTCTGTGCCGACTGCTGGTGGAGTTGTGCCTGTCGCTCCTTGCGGCTGGCATGCCTCGTAAGGGTCGTCGTTCGTGGCTTTCGCCATGGAGTCGAATGGCGACGCAGTTGCGACGGCCGCAAGAGCGAGGGAGAAGAACTTCAGAGACATGTTGTAGTGTGGTGTGTCGTGGGAGTAGTAGAACTTCTGGTACCGAGCGATGATTATAGGTATTACACGATTGTTACACTGTGTAGTACTGAATGACCAACGACTTTCAACAAGAGTAACGAATGGCAAACGCAGGCGCGCGAATGGAAAAGCGAGTGACGGAAGGATACGACAGAGTATCTGCCAAGGGTCAGAGGGGCACCCCGAGTCTATATACTGACTGTGCCCATATCGCTTGCTAACAGGGTTTAATCAGGCTCGATCTTACAGCCGAACTAGCCAACAGGCACCATGCGCTTTACAACTGGCGGCGCGCCACAATGCGATAGGACGTTTACCAACTGCCTGGGATCTGTTATCCGTTGGGCGATCATGTGTTCATCCCCCAAGACCTTGCCCAGGGGCGGCCCTCGTATTGGATTTCCACAGGATTGGCTGCCATACACACACACACACACACACACACACACACACACCCCCA